CTGGTTCCATATTTTTGCAATCACAACTCATGCTGCTATAAACATGCATGTGAAAGCATCTTTTTTTTGTATAGTGACTTTTCCTCTGGGCAGATACCCAATAGTGGGATTGCTGGATCAAATGGTAGATCTACTTCTAGTTCTTTAAGGAATTTCCATTCTGTTTTCCATAGTCATTGTACTAGTTTACATTCCCTCTAGCAGTGTTCCCTATTCACCACATCCACACCAACATCCATTATTTTTTTATTTTTTGATTGTGGCCATTCTTGCAGGAGTAAGGTGGTGGTGCATTTTGGATTTGATTTGAATTTCCCTGATCATTAGTGATGTTGAGCATTTTATCATGTTTTTTGGCCATTTGTATATCGTTTTTTTAAATTGTACTTAGGTTCTGGGGTACATGTGCAGATCATGCAGGATTGTTGCATAGGTACATACATGGCAAGGTGGTTTGCTGCCTTCATTCCCCCATCACCTATATCTGATATTTCTCCCCTCGTAATCCCTCCCCAACCTCCCCACCCCAGCTGGCTTCTAATGCCCCCCAACTGACTGCAGTATGTGATACTCTTCTCCCTTTGCCCAAGTGTTCTAATTGTTCAACACCCACCTATGAGTGATAACATGCGGTGTTTGGTTTTCTGTTCTTCTGTCAGTTTGCTGAGAATCATGGTTTCCAGATTCATTTATGTCCCTTTGAAGGACATGAACTCATCGTTTTTTTATGGCTGTGTAGTATTCCATGGTGTGTATGTTCTTTTGAGAATTGTCTATTTACGTCCTTAGCCCACTTTTTGGTGGGATGGTTTGTTTTTTGCCTATTGATTTGTTTGAGTTCCTTGTAGATTCTGAATATCAGTCCTTTGTTGGATGCATAGTTTGGGGATATTTTCTCCTACTCTGTGGGTTATCTGTTTTATCTGCTGATTATTTCTTTTGCTGTGTAGAAGCTTTTTAGTTTAATTAAGTTCCATCTGTTTATCTTTGTGTTTTGGTTGCATTTGCTTTTGGGTTGTTGGCATAAAGTCTTTGCCTAAGCCAATGCTTAGAAGGGTTTTTTTTTTTGAAGTTATCTTCTAGGATTTTTATGGTTTCAGCTCTTAGATAAGTTTTTGATGCATCTCAAGTTAATTTTTGTATAAGGTGAGAGATGAGGGTCAAGTTGCAATCTTCTACATTGGACTTGCTGTTTTTCTCAGCACCATTTGTTGAATAAGGTGTCCTTTCCCACTTTTTGTTTTTGTTTGCTTTGTCAAAGATCAGCTGACTTAAGTAAATGGCTTTATTTCTGGGTTCTTTATTCTGTTCCATTGGTCTACATGCCTATTTTAATACCAGTACCATGCTGTTTTGGTGACAACAGCCTTACAGTGTAATTGGAAGATGGGTGATGTGATGCCTTTGGATTTGTTTTCTTTTTGCTTAGTCTTGCTTTGGCTATGCATGCTCTTTTTTGGTTCTTTATGAATTTTAGGATTGTTTTTCTAGTTCTGTGGAGAATGATGATGGTATTTTGATTGGAATTTCATTGAATTTGTACATTGTTTTTGGCAGTATGGTCATTTTCACAATATTGATTCTACCCATCCATGGTCATGGGATGTGTTTCCATTTCTTTGTATCATCTATAATTTCTTTTAGCAGTGTTTTGCAGTTTTCCTTCAGGAGGCCTTGCACCTCTTTAGCTAGATTCATTTCCAAGTTTTTTTTTCCCAGCTGTTGTATAAGGGATTGAGTTCTTGATTTGATTCTCAGCTTGGTTGCTGTTGATGTATAGCAGTGCTACTGGTTCGTATACATAGATTTTATATTCTGAAACTTTACTAAATTTTTATTTTTCAGATCTAGGAGCTTTTGGGTGAGGCTTTAGGGTTTTTTTGGTGGTTTTTATTTGCATTTCCCTGATCATTAGTGATGATTATATGTTTCCTAGGTATGTGATTATATCATCAGTGAACAATGACAGTTTAATTTCTTACTGATTTCCATGCCCTTTATTTATTTATTTTTTCTTGTCTAATTGCTCTGACTAGGACTTCCAGTACTATGTTGAATATAAATGGTGAAAGTGGGCATCCTTGTTTTGTCCCAATTCATAGGGGGAATACTTTCAGCTTTCCCCCATTCAGTATAATGTTAGTTATGGGTTAGTCATAGATGGCTTTTATTACCTTAAGGTATGTCCCTTCTATGCCAATTTTGCTAAGGGTTTTGATTATAAAGAGATGCTAAATTTTGTCAAATGCCTTTTTTGCATCTACTGAGATGATTATGTGATTTTTCTTTCTAATTCTATTTGTGTGGTGTATCACATTTGTTTACTTGCATATATTAGACAATCCCTGCATCCCTGGTATGAACCCAATTGCTCATGTTGGATTATTTTTCTGATATGCTGTTGGATTCTGTTAGCAAGTGTTTTGTTGAGAATTTTTGCATCTATTTGTTTATCAGGAATTTTGGTCTGTAGTTTTTTTTTTTTGTTATGTCCTTTCCTGGTTTTGGTATAAAAGTTATATGGGCTTCATAAATGATTTAGGGAAGAGTTCCTCTTTATCTGTTTTTGGAGTATTGTCAATAGGATTGGTACCAATTCTTCCTTGAATGTCTGATAAAATTCAGAGATTCATCTATCTGTTCCTGGACTTTTTTTGTTTTTGGTAATTTTTAAATTACCATTTCAGTCTTCTTATTTACTATTGGTCTATTCAGAGTTTCTATTTCTTCTTGGTTTAATCTGTATATTTTTAGAAATTTATTCATCTCTTCTAGGTTTTCTAATTTGTGCATGTGAAGGTGTTTATAGTAGCCTTGTATAAACTTTTGTATTTCTGTGATATTGGTTGCAATATCTCTTGTTTCATTCCTAATTGAGCTTATTTGGATATTATTTCTCCTTTTCTTGGTTAATCTTGCTAATGATCTATCAATTTTATCTTTTTAAAGAACCGGCTTTTTGTTTCATTTATCTTTGTGTTTTTGTTTTGTTTCAATTTCACTTAGTTCTGCTCTGATCTTTGTTATTTCTTTCTTCTGTTGGGTTTGGGGTTGGTTTGTTCTTGTTTCTCTAGTTCCTTGATGTGTGACCTTAGATTGTCTGTTTGTGGTCTTTCAAACTTTTTGAAGTAGGCATTCAATGCTATAAACTTTCTTCTTAGCAACGCTTTTGCTGTATCCCAGAGTTTTTGATAGGTCATGTTGAAGAGGGAGACCCAGGCTTCTCAGATCAACTTCCCCTTTGGCTATCATGCTGCATTTCAATAGAAGAAAAGGCGCCTCCGGTTTTACCTTTCTACATGTGACAGGCTAGGCCTTGGGGAAACTCTCCAGAAGGCACTATTTTTACTTAAAACAAGATCAAACCAGAAACCTTTTCATATGTGATTTCTGAAACTGTAAGCCAAAACCTTTTCACATGTGAGTCCTAAAACTATGAACCTAAGATTCTTCCGTGTAACATCTAAAGTATAAGCCTATATAAAGGCAGAACCTTCCTTTGTTAGAGGAGCTGGGTTTTCATCAAATTACTGCCTGGTCTCCCAGCCGAATAAACTCCTCGCTCCTTTAGTCGTGTTCGAGAGATCCGTTTCCTGTGGCTGCTCCTGCTACAGTGTTACTACTGTCATTCATTATGAGGGTCCCTTTTGGAGTTGATTTCCAGTTTTATTCCACGGTGGTCTGAGAGAGTACTTATAATTTCAATTTTCTTTGATTTATTGAGACTTGTTTTGTGTCCTGTCATATAGTCTATCTTGGAGAATGTTCCATGTGATGATGAGTAGAATGTATATTCTGCAATTGTTGGGTAAAATGTTCTGGAAATACGTGTTAAGCCCATTTGTTCTAGGGTATAGTTTATGTCCACTGCTTCTTTGTTGACATTCTGTCTTCATGCCCTGTCTAGTGCTAGTGGAGTATTGAAGTCCCCCAGTATTATTGTGTTGCTGTGTATCTCATTTCTTAGGTCTAGTAGTAATTGTTTTATAAATTTGGGAGCTCCAGTGTTTGTTAGGTGCATATATATTTAGGACTGATATTTTCCTTTTGGACTAGTCCTTTTGTCATTGTAAAAGTTTGTCTTTGTCCTTTTAAGCTCTTGTTGCTTTAAAGTTTATTTTGTCTGATATAAGAATAGTTACTTCTGCTTGCTTTTGGTGTCGGTTTGCATGGAATATCTTTTCCACTTAAGTTTATGTGAGTCCTTATGTGTTAGGTGAATCTTTTGAAGACAGCAGATACTTGGTGGATTCTTATCCATTCTGCCATTCTGTATCATTTAAGAGGACCATTAACCCATTTACATTCAATGTTAGTATTGAGGTGTGAAGTACTATTCTATTCATTGTGCTAGTTTTTGCCTGAATATCTTTTTTTTTTTTATTCTTTTTTCCTTGTGTTACTGTTTTGTAGATCCTGTGAAATTTATGCTTTAAGGAGATTCTACTTTGGTAGGTTTCAAGGATTTGTTTCTAGATTTATAGCTCCTTTTAGCAGTTACTGAAGTGCTCATGTCCCCATTCTTTCTGTAACCCCAAGGCAATATATAAGTTTCTGTACCCCACTGGAGGTGTTGGGTCTTTATTCTGAAGGCTCCAAAGTATACAGGTTAAAAAATTTGTATGCCTTTTCTCCCATAAATCTAATTTTTGTGTGATAATTTTTCAGTGAAACTTCAGGGGGCCACAGTAAACATTCTCTTTGGCCCTTATACCTTTTTAACTGCTCTTCCAATTATTTGATGAATAATTGAGGAGAGCTTGCTCCTTGTTTTCCTATTTACCAATAGTGAGCGAACTATCATCTCTTTAAGACATGTAGTCTGAAGTGTACACTGACCCTCATGTTCTTCTCTAACATAGGGCAAAGCTCCACATAGAACAATTTCTATTTTGTCAGCATCCAATCAGGTATGAGAATATACTGTAGAAGAAAGTTGTTGAGCATGGTGGAAGACACTTTATGGAAGTGTAAAGAGTGTGCCAAAACAGTTTTAAGTGGTGTTTGCTTTGGCAATACATATAATGAAATTGAAATGATACAGAGAGGATTAGAGTGGCCCCTGCATAAGGATGACATGAAAACTCTTGAAGAGTTTGATATTTTTATGTAGATTCTAAACCTATGACTTACTGGCATCCCTGAAAGAGTAAGAGAGAGCAAGTAACTTGGAAGACATATTTGAAGATATAGTCTCATATTATACAATCCAACAAAGCCTGAGAAACATAGTTATTAGATTATCCAAGGTCCACAATAAAGAAAAAATATTAAAGGCAGCTAAACAGAAGGGGAAAATCACCTACAAGGGAATCTCATCAGGCTAACATTGGAGCTTTCAGCAGAAATACTACAAGCCAGAAGAGATTGGAGGTCTACAATTAGTATACTTAAAAGAAATTTAAAACAAGAATTTTATATTCAACGAACTGAATGTCATAATCAAAGGAGAAATACAATTCTTTCAGACAAGCAAATACTAGGGGAATTTGTTACCATCAGGCCTGACCTGCCTTACATCAGGTCCTAAAGGGAGTGCTAAACAAGGAAATGAGAGACGGTTACCAGCCACCACAAAAATGCACTTAGGTATGTAGACATTGACAGTATAAAGAAACTACACAATCAAGTCTACATAACCACCAGCTAACAGCATGAGGATAGGATCAAATTCACACATATCAATAGTAGCCTTGAATGTAAATGGGATAAATGCTCCACTTAAAAGGTGCAGAATGACAACTTGGACAAAGAAAAAAGACCTAATCATATACTGTCTACAGGAGATCCATCTCACATGCAGTGTCAGCTTTAGGCTCAAAAAAGGATGGAGAAAGATTTATCAAGCAAATGAAAAACAGAAAAGAGCAGGACTTGCTATTTTTATTTCAGATGAAACAAACTTTAAAGCAACAAAGGCAATAAAGAACAAAGGAAGGCATTGCATAATGATAAAAATTCAATTCAACAAGAAGCCTTAATTATCCTAAATATATATATATACTCTCAGCACTAGAGCACCCAAGCTAATAAAACAAGTTCTTAGAGAACTACAAAGAGACTTAGATGAACACACAATATTAGTGAGAGCCTTCAATACCCCACTGAAAGTATTAGCGAGATTATTAATGTAAAAAACTAACAAAGATACTTAAGATATAAACTTGAAACTTAACCAAATGGGCCTAACAGACATCTACAGAACTGGACTCACTGAACAAGAGAATATACACTCTTCTCATCTGCACATGACACATACTCTAAAACTGACCACATGGTAAGTTATAAAACAATTCTCAACAAATGCAAAAACCAAAATCATAGCAACCACACTCTTAGACTGCAGCACAATAAAAACAGAAATCAATACCAAGAAGATCTCTCAAAGCCATATTTTTACAAGGAGGTTAAATAATCTGCCCTTGAATGACTTTTGGGTAAACAATGAGATTAAGATAGTGATATGATGTGGCTCTGTGTCCCCACTTCAATCCCATCGTAATTTGTACTCCCACAATTCTTATGTGTTATAAGAAGGACCTGGTGGGAGATAATTGACTTATGGGGGCAGTTCCCCCATATTGTTCTCATGGTAGTGAATAAGTCTCATGAGATCTGATGATTTTATCAGGGTTTCTGATTTTACATCTTCCTCATTCTCTTTGCCTGCTGCCATCCATGTAAGATGGAACTTGGTCCTCCTTGCCTTCTGCCATGATTGTGAGACTTCGCCATTCAGCCACGTGAAACTAAGTACAAATAAACCTTTTTAGTTTGTAAATTACCCAGTCTTGCATATGTCTTTATCAGCAGCATGAAAATGGACTAATACAGGCTGAAATTAAGAAATTCTTTGAAACTAATGAAAACAAAGAGACAACATAATAGAATCTGAGTCATGGCTAAAGCAGTGTTGAGAGGAAAATTTATAGTGCTAAACATCCACATCAAAAAGTTGGAAAGAGCTGAAATTAACAACCTAACATCACACTTAGAGGAACTAGAAAAACAAGAGCAAACAAATCTCATAGCTAGCAGAAGACAAGAAATAACCAAAATCAGAGCTGAACTGAATGAAATGGAGCTGAGAAAAACCATACGAAATAATTAGCAAAACCAAAATTTGGCTCTTTGAAAGACTAAAATTGATAGACTGCAGGCTAGACTAATAAAGGAGAAAAATGATCAGAATAAGCACAATTAGAAATGACAAAGGGAACATTACCGCCAACCCCACAGAAATAACAAAAAAACTCCATCTATTACAAACACCTCTATGCATACAAACTAGAAAATTTAGGAGATTATGAATAAATTCCTGGAAACATACAGTCTCCTAAGATTGAACCAGAAAGAAATAAAAACCCTAAACAGACCATTAATGAGTTCCAAAATTGACTCAGTAATAATAAGTTTATAAAAAGAAAAAGCCCACCAACCAGACAGATTCACAGTTAAATTCTATTAGACATATAAAGTAGAGCTGGTACCAATCCTACTGAAACTATTGCAAAAAAATTGAAGAGAAAGGACTACTGCATAACTCATTCTATGATGCCAGCATCATTCTGATACCAAAACCTTCCAGTGACACAACAAAAAAAAAAAGAAAATGAAAGCAAATAACCCTGATGAACATAGATGCAAAAATCATCAACAAAATACTAGCAAATCAAACCTAGCAGTATATCAAAAAGTTAATCTACCATGATCAAGTATGCTTTATTTCTGGGATATGAGGTTGGTTTAACATATGCAAATCAATAAATGTGATTCATCACATAAACAGAACTAAAAAAAAAAAAAAAACCCAATCATCTCAATAGAAAGCAAAGGCTTTCAGTGAAATTTAACATCTCTTCATGCTAAAACCCCTGAAAAAACTAGGCATTGAAGGACTATACCTCAAAATGATATGAGCCATCTATTACAAACCCACAACCAACATCATACTGAATAGGGAAAAGCTGGAAGCATTCATTTCTTTTGACAACTGGAACAAGACAAGGATTCCCACTCTTGCCATTGCTATTCAATATAGTACTGGAAGTGCTAAAAAGAGCAATCAGCAAGAGAAAGAAATAAAAGATCCAAATAGCAAGAGAGGAAGTCAGACTATTTCTCTTCACAGACAATATAATTCTGTACCTAGACAACCCCATGGTCTAACTTCCAAAGGTTCTTATATTGGAAAACAGCTTCAACAAAGATTTTGGATACAGAATCAATGTTGAAAAATCAGTAACATTTCTATACATCAGGACCATCAATGAGAGTCAAATCAAGAACAAAATTCCATTTACAGTATCTGTAAAAAGAACAAAATACCTAGGAACACAGCTAACCAGGGAGGTGAAAGATGTCTACAAACAGAGCTACAACATGCTGCTAAAAGAAAGCAGAACTGACACAAACAAATGAAAATAATATTTCATGGTAATGGATTGGAAAAATCATTATCATTAAAATGGCCACACTTTCCAAAGCAACTTACAGATTCAATGCTATTTCTATCAAACTACCAATGACATTATTCACATAATTAGAAAAAAACTATTCTAAAATTTATATAGAATAGAAAAAAAAGCCCAAATAGCTGAAAAAATCCTAAGAAAAAGAACAAAACCAGAAGCATCACATTACTTGACTTCAACCTATACTACAAGGTGATGGTGGCCAAAACAGCATAGTACTGATACAAAAACAGACACATAGACTAATGGAACAGAATACAGAAACCAGAAATAAAGCCACACGCCTATAACCATCTGATCCTCAACAAAGCTAACAATAACAACCAATGAGGAAAAGACTCCTTTGCAATAAATGGTGCTAGAATAACTGACAAGCCATATGCAGAAGATTAAATCTGGACTTATTCCCTTCACTGTACACAAAAATCATCTCAACATAGATGAAAGACTTAAATGGAAAATCTAAAACTTTAAAAATTCCAGGAGAAAACCTAGAAAATGCCATCTTGAATATCAGCCTTGGCAAGGATTTTGTAACTAAGACTTCAAAAGCAAATGCAACAAAAACAAAAATTGGCAAGTGGGGCTTACTTAAACTAAATAAATGCACAGCAAAAAAACTATCAATAAACAGGGAACCTACAAAATGGGAAAAATATTTGCAAACTATGCTGCCAACAAAGGTCTAAAATCCAAAATCTATAATGATCTTGGATTAACAAGCACATAGCAACCTCATTTTAAAATGAGCAAAGTACATGAACAGGCACTTTTTAAAAGAAGACATACATGTGGCCAACAAGCATATAAAAAATTCTCTACACTGCTAATCATCAGAGAAATGCAAATTGAAACCACAATGAGATATAATCTCAGGCCAGTCAGAATGGCTATTATTAAACATCTAAAAAATAACAGATGCTGGGGATTCACAGTTGTGGAGAAAATGGACTGTTTATATACTATTGGTGGGAATGTAAATTAGTTCAGCCACTGTGGAAAGCAGTTTTGAGATTACTCAAATAATTTCAAATGGAAGTATCATTTGACCCAGCAATCCCATTACTGGCTGTATAACAAAAAGAATTAAATTGTTTTACTGTAAAGACACTGTCATGTATATGTTCATCATAGCACTATTCACAATAGCAAAGACAAGGAATCAACCTAGATGCCCATCAGTAGTGGGCTGAATAAAGAAACTTTGGTACATATACCCCATTGTGTACTCTGTAGCCATAAAAAATGAAATCAACCCCTTTTCAGCAACATGGTTGGAACTTGAGGCCATTATCCAAAGTGAATTAATGCAGAGACAGAAAACTAAATACCACATCTTCACTTTCAAGTGGAAGCTAAATATTGAGTACATTAGGACACAAAGAAGGGAACAGTAGACACTGGGCCCACTTGAGAGTTCAGGGTGGGAAGAGAGTGATGGAAAAATATACCTACCAGGAACTGTGCTCAGTAGCTGGGTGATAAAATAATCTGTACACCAAACCTCCATGAAATGAAATTTACCCATGTAATGAACCTGCATATATACCTCATGAACCTAAAATAAAAATTAGAAAAAAAAAATACTTTTAAAATAAAAACTCTCAAAAAACAACCAACCAACTAACCAACC